TCTCGGGTGCGGTAGTAGTTCCGCCACCACTTGGCCTTTTTGAACCCTGACAGGGTAATTTCTAAAATTCGCTACAAGCAATCTAAAAGGTTTGTCAGGCTCAACCTGAACTACACCGTTGGTGCTTATCAATCCGTGCTTGTCGTATAGGGGTGCGTAGGGTTGAACTACGACCAAGCCCGTCCTCTTCGAGGTACATTCGACTACGTGTTGCGTCCCTGGCTCAATGGTTGTGGCTCTTGCCACCTTCACCCTGGGGAAACTCGCTCCCCTTTTGCATCAGTTTCGCCCTTTCCAGGGACCAGATGCTTCTTCGATTTTCTCGCCGAGAACCGCCTTACGATCGGAACCTCTGAGAAATCCGCCAACTCCACTGTCCTCTTCCGTGGGTAAATAGCCTCCACGAACCTATCGCAATAGTCCGCTCCTAGAATCAGCGGTACTGCAAGCTTTTCGCATACAATAAACTCGGCAGCAGCCACAAATCGTCCAAGTCTCACGGGCATCATGATGGTTCCGAGAGTCTGGAGTGGCCTGTTGTTCGCGTCGCCAATGTCTTGGGTCGGTCCGTAGGACACTAGAGATTCCATTCCAGCCGGGAGTTCCGATTTTCGAACAAGGTTTGGTCCCGCGCCGGTGTCTAATACAGACAACACCCGGCTCATCAATCCGACTGTTGGTCCAATGTCCGCGTAAACTTTGTAGCTTTTTTGCGCAAGAACCAAAATCTTCTCGGGACACTCCCTTCGCTTAACCCTGTACCAGGGTCTTTAAACTTCTTCCAGCGGATGATCTCGGGCTCGGCTCAAAATTTTCTTGACTTGGGCCGGCCCTTTGGGCTTATCCACCAATCCAACAACCTCCTCATCGGGGCCTGATTTTTCCCTTAGAGACGGGGAACGGGGCTGGGCCCCGGGCACAGTACGTCGACCCTGTGCCTCTCGCAACTCATGCGAGATTCCCCTCTCTAGTTTTCCTGCCGCTGCGGGTTCCTTCTCACGTCCGACGACGCGGGCCCCGCGGCGGGCCCTCTGAAGGGTTGGTTCGACCTCGGCGTTGAAGCACTCGGCGTGCTCGCCGTCTGCGAATCGAACCAATTCTTGACCTTCAGATAACTCGTCGATGGTATCTCTAATCTCTCCATCGGAGACAACGCCTCATAATTTCCCAAAAGCCGGAGCATTTCCCGGAGGGAAAGAATGCACGTTGGCGCGGCGTGCCCCTTTTCGTAACAATGATAGCACACTTTCCAGCACTTGACGGGATATTGCGGCCTAGGTCCTCCACGGGCCGGCGGCCTTCCTTGATGTTGCGGCCTTCCTATCCAGCCTGGCCATCGAAACGTCGTACCATTGTCTTCCATCAGAATGCGCGGCGCCGGCGTGTGGCCGCGCCCCCGAAACATCATCACGGGATCCGTGGGTTCTGAAAACGACTCCGTCGTGTATGTGGCGTCGGTAGAGTTGACGACCGGCTTGCCCCGTAGTCCTCGTGTCCGTAGTCCTCCGATGGCTCAATAAAATTGCCTTCGGCTACCAATGCTCCTTCATAATGATTTTCGCTGCTTCCGTTCGCACGGAGTTCATCTAACGGGGATATTGACTCGGCTAAGTGGACGGCGGCGTCACCTTTACGACCGGGGTAAGAAGCTCTCGGCTTCTTCCCCGCCCTGAACGTCGACGGCGTCTGAATCGTGACCTTCTTGGTCTTCTTGTCCTTCGCGCGGCTCGCCGAGCCATACGCCTTCGCCTAATTAACTAGTCTCAAAAACGAAACGTCCCGAGTGTGTTGTCGGTATTGAAATACCATTGGCTTGATACCGGAATCGAGTCCTTCAATAAACATCGTCATTTGTTCTTCCATCGAATATACGTTTCCACATCGATTGCTCGCGTCCGTCAGACGGATATAAAATTCCATCTCGTCTTCAGACGGTAGCTGCTGTACTTTTCGCGATGCGAGCACGGCTTGACGGATCGCCTCGTCGGTTGCAAAACTCCTCAACAGCCACTGTACGGCCTCTGGCCAAACGGACACCTTTCCGTGATGGGACCCGGCCGTCTGAGACACCGAAGTGTACTGTCTCAAGGCGATGCCGCTTAGAAATTCGGGCAACAAGTGGATCGCTTGCCCCTCGTTCATTTCTTGAGTATCAAACTCTTGAACTAATTTTGCCAAAAAATCCAACACAAGAACCCCTTCCTCACAATGTGAACGTGTTGTCCTTCTTCATCTTATGCGGAATATCTCTCCTGATTTTTCGCACGGCGGTCCGCCGGGAACTTGACAAATATGTCTGCGGGTTCCGCAAGCGGTACGTTCGGTACGAAAGTAATTTCTTGAATAGGTAGTTGGTCGGATTCAGCTCCTCCAACTCCTCCCATCGCGGCCCGCGTCGCGTTGCGACGCCCTCTGGCTCAGCGTCCTTGTCTCTCCGCGAGGCGGACGAAGTGACTCCGCCCCGTCTGGAGGTAATTTTCTTGCCCTGCGAAATTCCTTTTCCTTCCTCTGAACGATGTTCGGAATCGCTGGCATGGTTCGACGAACCGTCGTCACCATCTTCGGAAAGGCCATTCGACTCGGTCACCGAGTCTTGGTCCTCCGGCTCGTCACTACCGTGACTCTTGCTCCGGCGTCGCATATTCTTCTTCGAAGTCTTCGACTTGGAACTCCGCTGTACCGCGGCCTTGTCCTTCTTCGATGGACGGTCGCCTTCTCGACCCATTGGGAGCGGCTCTTGCCCGGCGACCTGTTCAAGGTCCTTGAGACGATGAGCGGCGCGGTCGAACCGGTCGTCGATACTGCTTCTAAATCTACCTAAGGACTCCAAGGCTTGATTCGCGTCGCGCCTTGCGTCCTTGACTGAAATTTTCAACGAAGCTAGGACCTCTGGCTCCAGACCGTCGGTCGCATCACCTCGCTCCTTCTCGACGAGATCCACTCGAGCCGATAGCTCTCCTAAAACGGTGCGGAACTTGAATGCTTGCAACTCCAGTTGCTTCCGGACGAAGGCTAATTCAGCCTCGAGATTTTTCGTCATCTCTTGGCGAATTTCCTCGCCCATCTTCTCGAACCTGTAGGATAGGTTATCCTTGTCGGCTTCAATCCCCGTCGGGGAATCTTGACCTTCGGGATCCGTGGCCGTATTGGCCTGGCTTCGGTTGCGAGGACCTCGCGGGATCCTCGACGCCCTTACCGATCCGCTCCTACTCGCCCCGGGACCGACGTCCCCGGCAGCGCTTGTCGACTTCGATCGTACGAGCGAACCTACACAAAAAAAGTTACAAACAAAAAGTAAAAAAGAGACTCCGTTACCTAGACCACTTTTGTAGTGCAACTGCAGACCGAGGCTGTCGTCGACACAATTCTAGGTCGGGTTTGCTGTAGACAATTCTAGATCGGGAGACCACTTTTGTAGTGCAATGCGCCTGTCAGGCAGAGACCGCGGTGCGATGGTCCAGCAAAAACAACAACAGCAGCAAAAAGAAGAACTGCCGATGGCACAGCGCTACGGAGTGTCCGACTCTCCCTTCTCCGTTTAAACGAGCTTGCGACTCGTAATAGCTCAGATCCCTGATAGGGGGGGCACAGAGAAATAGCCCGGCCCGGGATCGGTGTGGTAAAGACGTGCGAAGAGAACTGCTCGACGAGTGTGGAGTGGGGCGCGTACTTAGGTACCCCGGTTCCACTGGGTTGTAAGGCCAATGCTCGTTGAGCTTCTTCGACACCTTGTAACGCGACAAGGCCTTCGACGGGGGCGTCGCAACGCAGCCCGACGGGATGAAATGAAAGTAGCAGCGCTACGTCAACTGTGTTGCCCGATGGCTCGAAACACCTACACCGGTTCGGTCGCAACCGAGGCCGATGGCACCAACACTGGCTCGTAACACGACGAAGCCCTTCGAGGGAGATGTCGTTGCAACAGTCTCCGTCGGAAAATGGGTCACAGTAGCAGCGCTACGTCAACTGTGTCGCCCCATGGCATAGACACGTACACAGGTTCGGTCGCAACCGATGCCGATGGCACCAACACAAGATAAGGGAAAAATAGGTAGAATTAGAGATAGAAAAGGAGAGGGAAATAAAGGAAAAAGAAAAGGGAACCCCCGAGCGATAGAGGATGCCGTAGGCTTAGGGAAAAGGGAGCGTCTTGGTAGAGACGGACTTCGACCAAGGCGACATTCAACTCCGGCAACTCGGGTTGGTTTATTGAGTTGTTCGGTCAAAGGGCTAAGTTATATAGAGCCCCGCCGGGGCAAGTACAGTAGCTCCCGGCTCTAGATTCTAGATTTAATTAGTAAATAAATTAAATAATTAAAGTAATCGTGCGCTTCGTTGCACACGTGTGTCCCCCAAACCCGGACTACAGTATCCAATTTTTTTCCTTTTTCACTTCCTTTCACCCCTCTACCCGAGACGGGTATTGCACTACATTCAGTCACAGCAGTCGCGTAGTCGCGGGGCTCGGGCTTTGCGATCGCCCAGGCTGCACGCGCCACTGCTCCAGCGTCGTTCGCAGCGGTTGGCGCGCGTGTGCCAACCGGCGAGGCGGCCGCCGTGCCGTCTATGTCGTTGTCATTCATGCTTCCCAGAGTCTTCTGAGTGGACTCTACTAGAACCTGTCATGGCCTCGCGTCGAGGGGAATTTCTCTTTCACAAAAGAGAAATAGACATAGCCGAGAAGTCACGAGACTCTCACCCGGCCGTCGGCGATATGTAGGACAGTGCACGTTCGGTCGAGTGCCAGGTGTCGGCATGTCACTCGCTACTCCCTGGACAGCTTCACCCGCATACACAAGTGTATACAGACGCAAAAAAATGATAACGGCACCACAAATGACCCCTCTACATAAAGAAAATAAGGTGAAATGGTGCCGTAAGTTCATAAGCAAGGGTGAGGCATTTTGGAATTCTGTGGTTTTAGCGATGAAAAAAAGTTGAAAGGTGATGGCCCTGATGGCCTGGCATCCTACTGGCATGGTTTACGCTCTAAAGAGCGCATGTTTTCTAAAAGACAAAATGGTGGGTTTTCGGTCATGGTTTGGGGAGCAATTAGTCTTTATGGAGTATCTCCGCTCATATTTATGGACGGCAGAGAGGATTCTATCAAGTATGTTGGTGTTATACGTAGTGGTTTGCTGCCGTTCGCGTCGGAGGTATTTGGTGAAGCGCAGCGTTGGTTTTATCAACAAGATAACGCACCGATTCATACGTCGCGTTTTATAAGGAGCTGCCTATCTGAGCACGCCATTTATACCCTACCATGGCCTCCGAAGTCTCCAGACATTAACATTATTGAGAATGTCGGGGGTGTGATGGCTAGGATGGTTTATGCTAGAGGTAAGCATTACCCGAATGTCCAAGATTTGAAGGTAGCTATCGAGGAAGCTTGGTCTACAGTAGGTTCCGAGCTTTTATTGACGCTTTACAAGAGTCTAACGCGTCGTATGCATGCGGTTATGGACGCCCGTGGTGGCGCAACAAAGTATTAAAGACGTGTTTCTGTTTTGTGTCATATCAAATTTCGCGTATTTGTATCAATTTCGTGTAGCTTTTTAAACATACTGTAGGTCGACAACCGTGCTTGGTACAGTCATCCCTTGATAGAAGGAATCGGCTGGTGGACATGATTGGATTCCTTGTCCTAAGGAATTCCTTTTACAGAGCAAACATTTATTTTCGGAAATAGCTGTCGATGCGAGCTTGACGTAAGCCTGCAGCACGCTCACGCCGAATCTCCCTGCGCAATGAACGCAGACGTCGGTGTAGTTCCAAATCGATCTCGGTCCTGGACTCATTCGCGCGCAGTAGAAGGGCGATAGATTTCAGTTTCGCCTCACAGGTGATGACTGGCCCTGCCTCATCCTCCTCATCCGATTCACATCAACCCCCAACCCCACGGCCCTGCTCAGTGACAGCCATAACTACACAATCAACCATATCTCCATGCTTGAATCCCCGCCAAATGTCCGTGTCATCAGAGTTCAATATATTGCGTACTGACATCCTATCCCGCGTGTGCATTAAATCACTGATAACGGCTTCGAGCTCCGTGCATTCTTCAGAAATCTCATTGTCGGCATCTGCCGCTTGCAGCTTGCTTACGTTAGTACCAATCAGTCCAGTCGCTCGCCAACAATTTGCAATGAATGGACAAGGTAGTTCTTTCCAGATTCTGTCGAGATATCGCATTTCCGTAAGTTGTGATATATTGTAAATATCTCCGGCTTCTTCCTCGAGAGAATCCAAAGCTCGGTTGTACTGCGCAGATCGATATCTCCTTTTTAGAGAGCAAATAATGCCCGCATCCAGTGGTCGCAGTTTTGAAGTTGTATTTGGCGGCAAGAACTCTACTCGAACCGATGCAAGATCGGGTAATTTTGCTTTGGTCCCATGACCAGAAAAATTATCGAGAAGGAGAAGAGCGGTACCGCCAGAGGTCTTAGATATGTACGTGTCAAAGCGTTTTAGCCACTCAAAAACAGAGCCATGGTCATCCATGCCTTTTTGTTATGACCGTAGTCGAATCTAAGTTGCTCTCCAGTTCTCTTTTGGAAGCATCGCGGCCGATGGGCAGAACCACTAATGAAAAGAGGAAATTTCTCGGATCCCGTACTGTTGCAGCACACCGATAATGTTACCCGCTTCTTTTGCTTCTTGTGCCCTGACCTTGAAAACGTTGATATACTGCGATCGGGCGCCATCGAATAATTGCAGCCGGTCTCGTCTGCATTCCAAACATCCTCTGGCCTGTACTCATGACACAAGTTACGGAGATCTGGAAGTGCTTGTGCAATTGCCTCGTCATCTGAGTCACCAGCTTCTCCATGAAGTTTCCGAGCCTTCAAATTCCATCGACGCTGGAAGTTACACAACCAGCCTGCAGTGAACTTCAAGCGTGGACCATTTTCGCCGAGATCCGTGCAAATATCCTGCAGCAACCGCTTTCCCTTTTCGCGTATCATATCTCCAGACACACAGCGACCTTGCATGTTGAGACTGTTGACCCATGCAGCGAGTTGTTTTTCGAGCTCGGGTTGAGCAGGCGAATGCTGCCGCATCATCTGAGCATTGTTTCCTGGCTGTAAGTTCCCACTGCGACTGAGACGAGACAACACGGGCTTTGAACGGAGAAAAGACAGCCTGAGCTCCGTTTTCGCCCACTTAGAGACCTCGTCGAGGATGAGATTGTGACCAGACTTGCGACGTTTCGTAATTTCTTGATGAATAACGTGTTTCTGTGCGTAGGTGAGGGTGTTTCGCTTCATTGCGCTGGAGTGGATCGTCGGGGTGGGAAATGATGGAGCTACGGTCCTGATTATTAAGCATTTTTGACTGAGACTATGTTTGAGCCATAGTGTCAGGACCCAGATCCGGTTCTGTCTTAGATTCCTTACTGAAAGTGTAAATGTGACATTAAAGGCACTTGTATGACGCTTTCTGGAATCGGATTTATACTGAATTTTCCTTACATCAAGAGATTGAAGTAATGGCTCTGGTACGGTCAAAAATGATACCACGGGCATGGTGGACGCCCTCGGACGTCTTTTAACAAAGAATTCCTTACTTAAGGTTCCTTAAATCAAGGGATGACTGTATGGTGGTTTGGCGCTGACAGAGTCGCGATCAGGAGAATAGGTCCTGCGTGGTCATCCGCTCCGAGACGTTCTGGCCCTGGCCCCGTCTCATTTTTGCCCCTGGTGTTGGATCCATGACTCAGCTCGCCTGGTATGCCGTGTTGTGGCGCATTTTTATTCGTTTAACACGCAATTTGCGAGAAAATGGGCACCAAATCAGCCACATAAAATTTTGCGCAAAACCTGCGCATTGGTCGGATTTCGAAACTTTCTTCACGAAACAGTCGCTTGGAGTGTCCCTGATCATCCCACGGAGTATCGGATTGATTGGAGTACGACAAGGGTCTCGCATTTTGACAGCAATGGTGAGTGATTTGGGGGGCTGACGGGTGTAACGGCTCTTTCGGACATCGGTAAAAATAATCAAAAAATGACCCAGTGCATCATATCCACTCGCGAAAGTATCCAGCAATGTTGGATGCATTGAGATTGCAAGAGATGCAGGACGAAGAAGCGTCATGTGCTCGTTCGTTCTCAATATCATGAGGCCGACGTTTACGGCAGAACATCCTCTTGTCGTCAGCAATTGCAATTGTGAATTCGATATTCACAAGAAGTCCTTCGGTTCGGCGACTACTTCATTCAGGTCTCGAACGCTTGCCGAATCCCCCCAAACCTCTTCTCTTCACATTGACTGTTGTCAATTGGTGCGCCAATCTCAATCCCCAATAACATGCGGACATAAGCAAGGCGTCTGTCGTGTGTGCGGTACATGCCCGCGATGCCCATCTTACATCTGTCATGGCCCAAAACGACGCCCTGGGCGTCCGACCAAGGCCCCAAAGCGCCTTCAAAGACTATCTGCCGGTGCTGCTGCCAAAAAAATCCGGCTGGCCTCTTCCTCAGAAAATAATTCGCCTTCATGTGATAGAGAGGATTTATCCCAAGATTATGCATCTGGTTATCATGAGATAAATCCTATTGGATTGTTGGAAGCTATAAACATTCCAAGGTGGGACACAAAACGTTTGCCACGTGAAGATCGACGTTTATTTCCAATAAGCGAGCTCAAGTTTGACGAGTTGGACAGCCTGCATACACTCATTGAGAGGATGTTGTTGTCAATTTGTTGCACTTTATTACCGTCCTCCCAGACTGAGTTATATCGGTCATTTAGGGAGCAAAATGTAGGTGTTGCCTTACTGAAAGGTGCGATTGTTGATGGCGTTAAGGCGGCAAAACCCTGTTCTGTAGAGGGGAAAACTCTAAGAGCAGTTTTATGGCCATGTTTATCTGCTAAGGAGGTTCGACGGCTGCTGTTGGGTGATATAATTGTTGTACATATACAAAATGAAGAAGGCATTCCAGCGTCCGTGATGGGCGAGGAACCCAATCGAGAAAACCCCGCTCCGACACTATCAGAAGAAGACCTAAACAATGTCACATTATTTTTCCAAAGCACAGTCACAGATTCTGGCAGTACTGTCAATCAGGGCAAAAATACAAGGGAGGTAAACCTAGATGGTTTGGAAGTAGCCGAAAAAGGCGATAAGCGAGCCCTCTGAGATGGATATCAGGCGCAGCATGGAGGAGGAGCGATGCAGGATTAGGTCGGCGGACGCGAGCGCGGAATCCGTGGCGTGGGCGAAGGCGGGCGCTACGTCGTGTACCGTGCGGACGGCGGGCGTGTGCGCGCGTGGGCGCGCCCGCAGTCCAAGGGGACTTGGAGCGGGGTGGCGGCGGCGGTGGAGAGGAGGATGAGGAGGGAGAGGAAGGCGACGGGGCGGGGATCCGCGGCGGCAACGACATGGTGGCGTTTGGGGATGGGGACGTGGTAGGAGGGGCTGAGGAGTCTTTGATGCGCACTGTCACATCCTGAGGAGACTCTCGCCGTTGAGGTTCAGACCCAACCTCATGGAATCTAAGTGGGCTTGCCATATCCGAGAACGAACTGGTGCGTTTTTGTGAGCACACATATGCGCGGGCAGGTCGACAACACTATCGTACCCCTCGGAGCTCATACTGCAAAAGCAATGTTTTTGGATTATTTTACCAATGTCTTTCCCGCGAAAAGTGCCAATTTTTAATCAGCTCTTGAGGAGATGAGAGCTTTGCGATTCCAAAAAAAGCCATACAGTCGCCATCAGTGGACCCAGTGCTTTCCAACGATACCAAGTAAGTACTACTGGATAGTTTCCGCAAATTACACTAAGTGTTTTTTGGTGGCAGGTGGGGCATTATTTGTGCCCCTTCTCTCGCAAATTGCGTGTTAAATATCATTGGTGCGCCACTGCCAACAGTGGAAGAAGCATGATGGAACCGCTACGGGAAATACCTGTCACTGTAAGTCCAGTTATGCCTGTGACTTGTGACCACATCTTTCCAAAACTTGCACGGACGTTTATAGTTTCGCCTAAAATTCCCGCAAACGTTTTGGCAATGGTTTGCCGATTCTTTTCGGTTTTGTGGAAAAGTGGCTCAGTTGGAAGATATCATTACAGCTATCATTACAGCTAATCGAACTGTTTACAAATTGCTTACGTATGGAAAAGGTCCTCGAGGTGATGATCTGGTGCTCGCACCAGCTGTCCAGAATTGAAGGTCTTTGTGCTTGTGCGAGCACAAAGACCTTCAATTCTGGACTTCGAAAGCGCGTGAATCTCTCTTGCGAGGGTGCACGTCTCCAGACTGTTTCTGAGTTTCGCAGAAAAAGTTGCTCAAACTTTCGGCAGCACTTTGGGAACCTTTGAGGGAGGGTCTTAACTTGCCCGAGTTTGCTTTGCTTGCCCGAGTTTGCCGGTCATTTATTAATTTATTAATGTAAGTACACGCCTTCCCCTTACGTTAGTAGTGGACAGGTGTCCTTTCACTTACGTTAGTAGTGGACAGGTGTCCCAGAGCGACGGTGCTGAGTT